AATGAAGTGCAAAAATACAAACTATATCATCTTCTGGATTTCATAAAACATCCCAAAATGTATCTTTAAAGATTAGAGTAGCGACTGATTTTTTCTTCCGTATTGTGAAGTATGTAGGCTACAAGTGAAACGGATTATCGTAAACAAAACAAATAGGGCTGGACTTGGTTCTATCCGTCGGTTGTTGATTGGATGAAGGCAGACCTGAATGCTAGCTTGCATTCAATTATAAGAAAGGGGCGGGATTTAAGGAGAATAAATGATTGGAGAAGTCTGACATATATCACTAGAGAGAAGATTGTCATTTCACTGGAAGATCAAGTTGACATTTTAATTAAAATGTACAAGGTCAAGAAAAAGAAAGCAAACATGGTGGATGAACCGTTTGCAGCAAGATCAATAACATTCATTTAGAAAACAGATTGGTGAGTTTCCATTTCACGCCAGCTTTATTAATATATATGTAACTTCCAACAGTGTAATTCCATCAGCAAAATGTTTTCCTGCTTTAAAATCATCTCTTTGCTGACTGTGCGAGTTCTTCAGGGTTGAGAGTGTCCTTTGCATTCAAAAACTGCTTGCAACAAACCTCTTGACCACCACGTCAACACTGTCATGTCTCCCATTGAATCTGTGATCATTCCATGTGACCATGTACATGTCGACCCAGCACTAGAGAGCACTTTAGATCTCGCTCACCAGTTCCACTTCTGCTCCACATTGAAGCTGAGTATAGGCAATGTGTGTCACCCCAGCGCTCCTTCTATTGATTGCGGGTGAGTGCGTGTACGTACGTATGTCTGGCCATGCCGTCACTCCTTTTGGGCTACACAAGTGTGAGTGTGTGCGCTGGCAAGTGATTGTGGGGAATAAAGCCCTGGTTGTTTGCAGTGAAACTATGGGTTGTAAGTGAGTGGGGAGATGCGTTTCTGTTTGACTGGGCAGGCTGAATGGGACTATTCAGTAGACCCCAAACTGCAACCCTCTTTTCTCTCCATTGTCATCTCCCCTTCTCTCTGCTACCCCATACAGCCCAAGACAGAGCAAGAGAGAGAGAGAGAGCGAGAGAGATGTCTGGGTGGGAGAGAAGAGTGGGGGTGGGGATCAACGTGGGAAGACCGAATGGGGACAGAGAGGGGTAAAAACTGTAGAAACCACTAGGTTTTCTTACTTAATAAGGGTCCCTCTTTCACTTAAGATTGTCTTTCATATTAATGGACAGTGAAAGGTATACCCCAAGTATATGTCCTGGGACCTTTTTTTAAGTTTTTTTTTTCTATTCAGAGTGACAGACTCAATTTGAATAGCTTTTCTACTGTACAGTAGCAGTTTCTTTATCTCAACAAGTTATATTAATAATAAAAGAAAGAAAATGGCATGAACACCTCTAATATTGCGTCAATACATTGCTAAGTTATTGTTTAATAAAAGAAGCAGTCGCACATGAAAGGAAGGTCAAATCTTCACAGGAAGAGGGCATTGCTTTGATCATATGCAAGGGAAGTGTTTGACAAAGTTAATTCTAACCTGCTGAGGGCTTTATTATGTACACAACCAAGCTGACAAATGTGCTTGAGTGGAGACTCAATGACCAATCAGTGGCTTCGCTCTTCCTGTGGTCACGGTCGAGCTCAGAGCCTGTATGGAGACGGAGAAAGGAATCCAAGCACCCTTTTTTTGTTCACTCGTGTTTTTGCTTGAACTTGTGTTTAATTGCTATGGAAAAGAGAGGTGCAATTCATCTCTGGTCAATCATGTTTTGTGTGGTTTATGTTTTTCTGCAATGAGTGCTTGTGGTGATGCGTGTATTTACATAGTGAAACTGGCTTAAAGAATTAGTTCAAACCAATATGAAATTCTTTCATCATTTAATCACCCTTATGTTGTTCCAAACCCGCATGACTTTCTTTCTTCTGTGAAAAACAAGAAATTCCAAAGACTTTTTTCCATGCTTTTTCAATGGATGGGAACTGGAAAGGGGGACAAAGGGATAGTTCACCCAAAACATTTACTCAACCTCATGTCATCACAACCCTCCATGACTTTGTTTCTTCTGTACAAAAAAAAAGAAAGATATTTTGAATAATTTTTATTGTTTTTGTCCACACAAATGAAAGTCAATGGAAAGTCAAAGTCAAAAAAGAAAAAAAAAAGAAAAGAAAGAGTCACACAGGTTTGGAATGACTTGAGGTTGATATATGATGAGAGAATTTTACATTTTTGTGTGAACCATACCTTTAAGGGTGTGTGTGTGTGTGCTATGCATTTCTGCATAGCTGCACACTCAACGTGGCCCTTTGTGGGAAAGTCTGGGTGTGATTGAATATGTGTGTGAAAATGTATATGTGTGTGACCATATGTGTATCTCGAAGGAGAAGTGAACCCTTCTGTCTAAGCTGACAGGCTTTGATCCTGTTCAGCGGTCTGAAACCACTTTTTCTGAGTTGCCAACTGACATGACACATGTACACACGCAGACGCTCACACACTCTTTTCATATTTACACATCAGCAGTCTTCCCACAGCAAAGAAGCACCACAAACTGGTCCCAGTCTCACGCATACACACACACACACACACACACACACAAGATGCCTTATGTATCCTTCATTTACCCAGACCACTGCAACCCTGTGGGAAACATGTACATCAAAGGTTTGCAGGAACTCTACAGCTGGTAGACTCATCTGACTTCATGACTCAACATGTATATAGTAAGAAGGCTCAATTATGTGTAACACCTTTCAGCTGTGCCAGAGTGTTTCACCACTGTCTGAGACATACAATAACAATATAAAGTACATTTAATCATTTTTCTGAGGAAAATGTGCGTGGTGCTTACCTTTGTCTCCACCCATGATGCTGCCAATGTGTTCTGGATGATTTCCAGGGTCTTACTGTACACGACTTGTGTAGTTTTATTGTATAAATGCAGTAGAGTTGCTAATGCGTTTTGGATGATTTCCAGGGTGTTATACTATATACACATATTGTGCAGTTTAAGTGTATTAATGCTGTGTTGTTGTCCCAGTGTGTTGCCATGCAGTTGTTAATGTGTTCTGGATGGTTTCCAGGGAGTTGCTATGCAGTTATGTGTTCTGGGTGGTTTCCAGGGTGTTGCTATGCAGTTGCTAATGTGTTCTGGATGGTTTCCAAGGTGTTACTATAAACATCTTGTGCAGTTTGATGGTATTAATGCTGTGGAGTTGCTCTAGTGAGCTCTGGGTGGTTTCTAGGGTGTTGATAGGCAGTTGTTAATGTATTCTGGGTGGTTTTCAGGGTGTTGCTATGCAGTTATGTGTTCTGGGTGGTTTCCAGGATGTTGCTATGCAGTCATGTGTTCTGGGGAGTTTCCAGGGTGTTGCTATGCAGTTGCTAATGTGTTCTGGATGGTTTCCAAGGTGTTACTATACCAATCTTGTGCAGTTTGATTGTATTAATGCTGTGGAGTTGCTCTAGTGTGTTCTAGGTGGTTTCCAGGGTGTTGCTATGCAGCTGCTAATGTGTTATGGATGGTTTCCAGGGTGTTGCTATGCAGTTATGTGTTCTGGGTGGTTTCCAGGGTGTCGCTATGCAGTTGCTAATGTGTTCTGGATGGTTTCCAAGGTGTTACTATACACATCTTGTGCAGTTTGATTGTATTAATGCAGTGGAGTTGCTCTAGTGTGTTCTAGGTGGTTTCCAGGGTGTTGCTATGCAGTTGTGTTCAGGGTGGTAAAAGTAATAGTACATCTCTTCACAACAAGCTGCACGATTTGAGGTGTCATTCATGTCCACTTCACAAAAAAAAATTCAGGATGAGATATGCATTTTTTTAAAAATCCCCAACCGTGATATGATCGCTATTGCAGGTCTTAAAGTAAATCCCTAATAAACATTTATACACAGAAGGTGGATGCGGGTTTGAAATAAACTAGTGAAGACAGGGGCGGTTCCTTACATTTGCTTTTGCATTTTCACACAGTGCTTTTTGTGTAAACACCTGTAGCGTGTGACAATGACAAACAAGCGTGTGATTTCTAAAGAAGTTCAGATTTTGCAATGCATGTGTGCGGTTGGGTAAAACTGGAAATGTGTTTTGTGAAAAGAGTGTGCTGTAGCTTTGTGTTTGCAGCATACACACACTACACATATTGTGCAGTTTTATTGTATTAATACTGTGGACACTTAATTTTGCTGTCAAACATCTAGTGGATCGAGGTCAAGGAACTGTAGTTACTCAGCATGAACTGACTTCTTACAGCCACTGAAATCGTGAAGTTAGTTCTGAGAAAAGTTCCAGCAACATCTGAGCGCAATCTTGGTTTGATATTTTTGAAACTAATGCAATGAAATCCAGACATTTTCGGCATGCATTAAGTGTCCAAATAGTTTTTGGAGCCACTGCACATGCTTGTCTACGGCTTCAGCGTGTTTGTTTCTGTGTGAGGGTGTGTGTGAGCAGGTGATGTGGCCCTGGCCGGAAGGTCACTGAAAGCCGTCAGTTCCTTTTTCCTCTCCGGATATTCCCAGCATTCTCACAGCAACATCACCAGCCGTGAATTCTGAGAAACAGCGGGCAGGAAGCCTGGCAGGCCTTCTGGGGACTTTGCTCAGACTTACATTAAGTACCAAACTACCAAACTGCCCGTATGCAGGGTCAGCTTTATAAGCCTGAACGTGATGCTTCAGTATTGTTACAAGAACCATTAAACTGATCACAGATCAGCAGTGAAATCAGATCAGCAGGCGGTTTCACACAACTTCAAAGCCTAGAGGTGTTCAGAGGATAGCCTTCAGTAGACAACACTGACCTCTCCTGGACACTGGCAATTGGGGAATCCAGGGAAAATATCCAGTAAGAGGGAAAATAGAGCACATCGCTAAAAATAAATAAATAAATAAAATAAAAAATGTTTAATTAAATTTAAATAAGATACATTTGATTTAATTTGAATAAAAAACAAAACAACAACAGAAGCACAGTATCTTAAAATGCATAAAAATAAAATGCACAGCCAGACAATTTAACAGGTTTCTATTTATTGTGTTAATGTTGAAGTAAATGCCTTTTGGAAACAGATCCATGATGTACTTTTCTGTTTTAAAACGAAGTAATACTCCTTTCTTATTCACACCATTTTCAGTTGACTGTGAGAAACTCATCATCTCCTGCAAATCCCCAAAACATTTTCTATCAGTATCAAAATATGAGCTTCTCTTTACAGTTTTGGTTAAGATCAATTATATTAATGAAAAAAATGTGCTGTTGTTTTTCCCCAGTGTAATGTGCGTGTCCTACCGCTTCTCATCATGACTCCGCAATACTCCTCACACTCCTTCTGGCTGTAGAACTTGTTGCCATTGCCCTTGCAGCCTCCATATTTGAAGGACACACACTTTCCCGCTGAAGAATCGAAGGCCCACAGGTCTACGAATGCTTTACAGGGACCAACGTCCATAGGCAGTCTACAGGCAGCTAGATGGACAAAATACAGTGAATATATTAGGACCACACCAAGATGAAGTGTGTGCTAGGTCACTATGGGCCTCTCAGTTGGGCCGTAATACATCTTTGAATCACACAGACAAAAACATCAGTCTCATAAACACACACAAATGTTGGCACCTATCATTATGAGAACTTTACACAGGAGTAATGTTTTTTATACTGTACAAACTGTATATTATCTCCCCTAAACATCACCCTAGCCATCTCAGAAATCTTTCTGCATTTTTACATTTTTGATAAAACATTGTTTAGTATGTTTTTTAAGCCATTTTAATTACAATGTCCTCTTTAAGCAGGTTTACGCTGTAAGTGTAATACCCATGTCATTATGCAAATTTGTGTCCTCATCAATCATATAAGGCACAGACACACACACACCTTCCGTGCGACATCTCTGCAGACACTCCTTTTCTGTACCAAAGTTGTTCTCGTTTCCCAAACAGCCTCCAAAAGTGAATATCTGACAGGTCATGATGGACGAGTTGTAATAGAAGCGCTGCAGCATCGCGAAGCACGGACCGGAATCAGGCTCGGACTTACATGCTTCTACACACACACACACACACACACAGCAAAAATCAAACTCTTGTCTTTAATTATAATTTAAGATTTATACAAGAAACTATATTTTTCTATATCAAAGCAATGATCATTAACTTTCATCATTCGTCACTGTTCTCTTTCCCGCGTAATAAAATAATGTAAAAAGATACACTATAGCATTAAGCATTAAATAGCTAAAAAATTACAGTAAAGACATTTTTTTTAGCAATGTATAAAAGTTAGTTCCCAAATATTCACGTGTGAATCCTGATTGTTTCCTTCTAAATATGAAGGAAGCGCGTAAGTAGCAGTGTTACTCACCATGTCCTTTGAACATGGGCGTGTCGTCGCCCGATCCTTCCTCAGGGGGCGCCACAACCACATTCCTCCTCGCTCTCTGTTATGAGCATCACTGGTTACACTTTATTTTAGAGTACATGTAATTGCAGTGTGGTTACCCAAGAAAGTACTGGTAATATAATGTAACTACATAGGTTGAGGTTAAATTTAGGGTTAGTGTCGGCCCAGATCCGGGCCACATTTGGTACATGTAGATTCCACATGTCCCAGATGTGGGCCGGATCTGAGCGACACTATGTTTCTGCCTGGGAAGTACATAGTATTTATATATGTGGAACAGGACTATAAAATAAAATACCACCGGATTATTAATGAAGCTTCTACGAGTTAAACGAATAATTCATGTAAAACTACATTTCTGTCATTATTTACGCACCCTCATGTTTTGCTTGTTTGTTAGTTAATGAATGGCTACAGTAGAGGTCACAAGAACTTTTATAGCGACCAGTAAATTGTTCAAATATCAGGATTTTAATTTTTTTTTAAATTAAGAGTAACTATGAAATAAACAATATTGATTGTTTATGCAGTAATTATTGCTTAGATTAGATGTCTTGTGATGATGGCGAGCTCTTCACCTGGATTTGTGGCTCTGGTGTGACCGGCTCGCCTGGAACACACTCCCCTGATGACACGAGAAGGACAGAAAGGCAAACATAATGACATATGGTCGAAATAAAAGGAGTGTTTGGCACCAGTTCGTGTCAAGAGGATACCTTTGTTCTTTTTGATAACTATAGTGTCGTCACTCATTCCCTGTTCAGCCACCAGAGTCTTGAAGTCCTCGATGAGAGTGGGCCGCAGTTGCATACTACGCCCTTCAGGGGGAGTATAACAAGATCATTATAGTTCACAAACACAAACATGCGTTCCCACTGTCTATGTTCAGAACTGAAAGGGTTAGTTCACCCAAAAATGAAAATTAAGTCATTAATTACTCACCCCCATGCTGTACCAACCCCGTAAGACCTTCGTTCGTCTTCGGAACACAAATGAAGATATTTTTTATTAAATTTGAGAGCTGTATAACTACCACATTGGCTCCTAAGGGACTGCCTCTTGACGGCCCAGAAAGTCAATGAAGAAAATGTTTAAATATCCCAAGTGACTACCGTGGCTCAACTATATGTTTATCAAGCGACGCGAATACTTTTTGTGCGAAAAAACAAATAAAAATAACGAGTTTATTCGACTATTTCTTTTCTTCCTTGTAGGCCAGAACGAGACTTCCTTAGATTTCCACGACGCATGCGCGAGATTTGCGATCTGCTCACACCAGCTTACACTACTTCAGATCGCAATTCTCGCGCATGCGTCGTGGAAATCTAAGGAAGTCTCGTTCTGGCCTACAAGGAAGAAAAGAAATAGTCGAATAAACTCGTTATTTTTATTTGTTTTTTCGCACAAAAAGTATTCGCGTCGCTTGATAAACATATAGTTGAGCCACGGTAGTCACTTGGGATATTTAAACATTTTCTTCATTGACTTTCTGGGCCGTCAAGAGGCAGTCCCTTAGGAGCCAATGTGGTAGTTATACAGCTCTCAAATTTAATCAAAAATATCTTCATTTGTGTTCCGAAGACGAACGAAGGTCTTACGGGGTTGGTACAGCATGGGGGTGAGTAATTAATGACTTAATTTTCATTTTTGGGTGAACTAACCCTTGAACGCTAGCTTATTACTGACTGTATTACTGTAATACTGTATTCTGCCTGATAATATACATAATGAACGGTATTTCTTCTGAATAAGTAATTACTTCACGACTATTAAATAGTATGAACGTAATCCAAAAGTACGACATCCATCATTGTCATGTGAACAGCGTCAGTTGCGTCACTTCACAGCCATTCATAAATCCTCTCTCGTCCCACATGGAAAGAAACTATATGAGGATATATGCGCATATATGAAACCTATATGCAGTTTATATGCACATATATGCTGCATATATACAGCATATATGCACATATATGATAATATATATGCTGCATATGTGTGTATATATGACACATATAGGCAATTTTAGGTGCATATATGCACATATATGATAAGATATATGCTGCATATGTGTGTATATATGACACATATAGGCAATTTTAGGTGCATATATGTGCATATACAGGCCATATACTGTAGGTCTCCTGCATTGCTTCTTTATATCCACACATAAGTGCTATATACAAGAGTATCCTATACTGTAGCTCATGGCAGGATCTGGTCATTTGTAGCTCATCCACTCTAAACAATGCTGGGTTGTTTGAACCCAAATTTGGGTGAAATATAGACAAACCCAAATGTTTGGTTAAAAATGTAATTTCAAATTTTAACCCAAATTCAACTTTCACTGTCACTTTTTCAACTGTACATTTTTTAAATTGCATTTTTAACCCAACATTTGGGTTTGTCCATGTTTGACCCAAAGCATTTTTAGAGTGTATATGTCACTATATTGCTCAAATAAATAAATAAATATTTATATACATATCAGAATGACTTAGTGGAAAAGAAGGAAATGTATAACAAAAGGGTTTGTTGTTTTTTCATTTTACCAAAAAGCCCTTTTTCCAATTTCAAGTCACTTTCCCATACACATCCACACATTCACCGATACATCCACCAAATGCAATGCAAATTGCAATGTTTTCTGTATTGTCTGAATGCAGTTTTTTTTCTGGCTGAGATCATTACAGTCAAAAAAAAAAAAAAAAAAAAAAAAAAAGTGAATAGAACGTACATTCAAATAATAATCATCATCCCACCATCCCACCATCTATCTGAGCAATTCACAGTGGTTAATAAATTCGAATGCTGCTGCACTGCCGATTGGCCGCTACAGCGCCCCGTAGTTGATGACGTCACCCGCCTAACGCTTGACGTTATCCTTATCCGATGAGATGAAGTCAAGTTTCGCGCCGGAAGATAACGGCTGGGAGTAAAAATTGCGATTTCAGCATTGGAGATCCTCTAAGTCCTACTTGTCACCAATCGTAAGTATTCCTAATTTTATATTTATTTGCAGGGTGGAAATTGCGGTGGCAGAGAAGTATAAACTTAGCATTTATTTTTTGCCAAACACACCCGTTTCAGCCCATACACTTCCTATGTTGTTAGCTGGTGAGGTAACGTAACGTTACTGTGGGTGCTAAAATAACTTAGCCGTTGATAAGATTCAATTTAGAATTAACGTGTATTTATTTGTTTCTTTCTGGAGGAATTCGTAGAGGGTTATCAAAAGTCATGGCCTAGAGAACATAACGTCATGAGAATAAATTATACTTCTCTGCCAACGGCTCAAGAAGGCAATCGGCTCCAGAAAAAAAAAAAAAATACCTGTGGAGTTTGAATTTGGTCGAAATTGGTGAAAGAAAGAGCCGTATCAATGGGCTTGCCTTTACAGTTGCAGGAAATGTCTTTCAAATAGTAAACATTAACGTTAGGGCATTACTATTTTGATTAAGTGATTGTAATTGTTTTTTTTTCTTCTTTATATAACCTCTTTCTAGAATTACCTCAAATGAAAAGTTACCTCGCCATTATTGCTCAAAAAGGTAAGTTCCTCTGATTTTGCTTTTTAAAATTGTTTCTCTAGCAGAGCTGTAGAGACTTGTGATGTTGGGCTGATTGATAGTGTTAATTATTTGATTTAAGTCATTTGCACTTTAATTTATTGAAGAGAATAACTTTTATTTTTCTTCTATGAACAAGACTGGAAGGAGTCCTGTTGAGGATTTAGATTCCTCCTCTTTTGGAAAGTGCAACCGGTGAGTAACCCCCTTGAATTTTTATTTATTTATTAATAAATATCCCCATCCCCACCCCGACACCCTATCTTCCTCCTCCTCTCCTTTAAGAACATTTAGGGCAATTATTAATTTGTTTCATATTATTATTTTGTGTAATATTATTATTTTGTTTCTTTATCATTAATCTGCATTCATACTTAAAAACATATAAACTATTGGGAAGCTAAGCATAAGAATCAATATGAAACAATGCCAATAAATGAATAAATTATTTTTCAGATTGAAGTTATAAAGGGCTCTGGGGTGTTTTGCCAGGCAGAAGTGTGGAAAGCAGCCCTCCTTGCCACCTCTGCTACTGCCATGGTGTGGAATCTGCTGCTGGGCACATTTGATCTGGAGACTTTGCTGAAAAACAACCTGAATGGTACAAAACATTCTCCTAATCTCTTCTGTCCGTAAAAAACAATTAATATTCTGTGGAATAAATTATGTTTGTGAGCGGGCATACCATCGCTTTTTTACTTGCCATTTTTGTATTTCCTTGCACCTCAAGAAAATGTGATGTGTATATAAAAAAAGTATTGCTTTCACAAGCTTCATTTTAACCCCCTTTTATAATAATTTTGAAATTTTACTTTAAGGTGGGAAGCCAACCAGAGGGGATGGGGAGCAGCTGGTCGCCCTTGACCAAATTAAAAAGGCATCATTATTGGTGAGTAAAGGCCCTTTCACACTGAACGCGATTTTGACGCGCGAATAATTCGCGCGATGGTTTTATTTTTTGATCAGCTGTTTGTGTAATGAGTGCTTCCACACCGAACGCGAATCTGCTGCGGCGAAAAAACGACTTTTATTTTTTTCGCTTCGATGTCGATTTTTGAGGCGAAAGAAAAGGCTTCAGCCAATCATATACAGGGAAACAAAGGTGACGTGACCGCAGCAATGACGGACGGACTTTCTGATTGCTTGTGTGTCGAGTCTGTGAATGAATATCTGAAACAAGGACTGGTGGGACGTTGTGCTCGTTCGTTCGTATCGAGCCCAACCGGGTGTTTACAAGGCTTTTCAGTCCATTTGAGCCTTCAATCCGTTTACTAAAAGTGTTTATTTGATTGCATGTAAACGTAGCCCCTGATGAATGGGACAGCTCACCTTCTGCCATGTTTCTAGCTCCGGTAGTGGGTGCCCCAAACCTTCTTTTCTGCTTTTAAATAAAATAAAAAGCTTGTCTTCACTGGATGATAATGATGGTGATGAAGAAGCTATGTTCCACGTCCCGCAAGTCATAGCCCTGTACCGCATTTTTTTGTCTGCATCCTTTTATTTAATCGTCCTTTAAATAACAATTCTACACTTTAAAAAATGTAATAAGAAAACAGAGAAAATGCACAGCACAGACGTTAATGGAGCCATCACAAACAAACAATCTCTTCGTGGAGAGAGTGTTTGCTCTGATGAATGCTGCGTGGACAAGGAACCAGGCAACTGTGTGGACCTAAAGTGAACTGGTGAAAGTGAGCTCCACCTGCCAGTAGTTACTGACATGTACATAATTAAAAAGAAGGTCCAATCGAAGCTGCCAGATCATCAGACAAACAATATTCAAAATGCACTGATCGAATCCGGTAAGAACTCATTCATCTTTATCTTTCCTAATGGACTTATGTGCTTATTTGAAAATGTGCTATTTAGAGATTGGGATTTTTTTTTTATAAAGCCTATTAAAGCATCATGTTAACATCACTGCAAAAAGACATCTAATATAAAATCTATAATTTATTCACCTAGTAGGCTATAATAATAAGTATAGAGTAGCCTACGTTTTCTGATGAAAATCAGGTCTGCTTTCATCGGCGCAAATGTTTTGGAATGTTGAAGTTCTGAACGTCGCAAATTCGCGTCGCGGCTGATGTGAATGGTTTTGACGCGAAATATTCTCACGCGAACTATTCGCTTTTTCGTTTCGCTTTTCCGTTACGCATCCGGTGTGAAAGGGCCTTAAATGTATAAAAGTTTTGTTTTCCCTTCTCAACGCATTAGGATTTTATAAGTTCACCACTTTAACCATAGCCTACTTGTATCAATGTTTATTAGGCATCAATTGAGACTGGATAAGGGATTATTGTTACTATATCTACTTGGAACCTATAATACTAATTCATCGCTTGCTCAGTTCTTGATCCTAACTTTCCTTTTCTTAAGCCACGTTTCAGATTTTTCAGAATCTTCAGAATCTTCCAATTGACATGATCAACCTTTTATCAAAAAATATGTGTCCGATCACATCTGTACTGTAAGCACTTTGGGTTCCTGATGAAGTACTATATTCTTCTTCTTCTTCTTCTTCTTCTTCTTATTATTATTATTATTATTATTATTATAGTGTCTTATTATTTTTGTCTTCTCTAGATGCTACATTGAAGAAGTGGCCGTCAGCCAGCCGAGGGGAGATGGGCACGTCTATCAATTCAAAGCTCATGGAGCTGAGAAGATCAAAAAGATTTTTTTTTCTATCCAGTTTTTTTGTCTTATTTTTGTTTTTGTACTATTTGATCTTAAGTAAATAAATAATCTAAATGCATACATTTTGGACTATTATTTATGTTGCCTAGTAGCTATGGATTTTAATAATTATTCTAATATAGGTAAACATGTTGGTGCATGTATTGGTGAACATATATGTTCATATATACATGCATACATGTACTTATATAGGTACATATATGCATGTATATATGCACCTATATGTGCACATATATGCGTGCATACATGTACATATATAGGTTCATATATGCACAAATATATGCACCTATACGTGTACATATATGCGTGCATACATGTTCATATATGCACCTATATGTGTACATATATGTGTGCATACATGTACCTATATAGGTGCGTATATATGTGTACATATATGCACATATATATGTACATATATGTGCATATATGTACATATAATATAGGAAAACGGCCAATTTTATATATGTCACATATATTAAAAACATATATCAAAACCTATATTAAAACATATATGTTTATATAGGTTTTTTCCATGTGGGGTGGCCTCATGGGACACTGTGAATTCGGATGCTACTCTTTTCTTATACTGCTTTTGCCTCCCAGACAGCAACAAAGTGTTGGCCCAGATCCGGGCCACATCTGGTTGGGCTACATGTGGATCTGGACCAACACTATGTTGCTGTCTGGGCCACTATAGGCTATAGTACGGAAGTATGCAATTTTGGGTGCAGCCCATTAAAACAACAGTATGCCACGTTGTAGTCAAATACGTGATGTCAATGGCATTAATTTATTTAAAAATACAAATTTTTTTTTAATTAAACAGCATTTAGTTCTATGTGATGTAATTTAAACAGACTTAACACAGACACACACACACACACACACACACACACACACACACACATATATATAATGATGTAGTATTAGCATTCTATTTTGAACATAGTATATTGAACTAAAGTCATTAAGTTTGAGTAGAAATAATAGATAATAATCATAGAAGGGTGTCTTACTACACACTTCTTTGTCTCATACTGTTTTTGTTTACATGTTAGCACTAGCATTTAGCTAAATTAATAGTTTGTTTCCATACTTGTTAAACTTGTGGTGGCAACTTTGCCTCACATTCCTCGCTATTCTTCAACTGAAAGGCAAGTCAAACCATCACAAACTCCTCAATATTAGCACCAATTTTTTTTTAAATCACCAGAAATAATTTATAATTGCATGCCTGTATTTGGCATGTTATTTTTATTTATAAGTACTTGATTTGAGGTCAAAGCTCATCAAAAATGTATGTAAATCATGAAAAAAAGTTGAAATGTTTCCCAAAAAGAAAAGGGTTGTTTTACCGTAGAGTTTCACAGATGTAGATTTTTCCCCGCCTGTTTTTTGTTTGTACATCACCACCAGCGCATACTCATCGTAGTTCGTGTGAACCACATACGTGTCCACATCGGCGTTCCACTCTACAGGCCGAAAGACACCCAAACCATAGTCAGATAACAGACACATGAAGTTCTGAGAGATTGACAGCTGTGGTGTTGTACCCACTGGCACTGTGGTAGTGAAATCTTCCAGGTGTATTGGTCAGCTGATATTCTCCACTGATGGACTTACAGGTGCCATGTCTGCAAAATAAACAAATAATACCATCATACTGGGTCTCATGACACACAAACTGCTTTTGAGGGTATGAAATAAAAGAAAGAGTTTCACACACTGGTTGCATTGTTTATTTGGTGTAATGTTATTATTGTTTCCTGCATGTGGTACCTGAGGCCGATGCGGGTCATGCTGATGGTCTGAGTCGATTCACTGGACTGCTGGAGCTCTATCGAGCCGATGGATGCCTCTCCCTTATGACGCTTGAGCCAAGGGCACGTGGATGCCGTCGCAATCCCATACCATTTTCCCATGAACTTCCAGAGGTGGAGCGGAGGAGATCAGATCGTAAAAATTTGAGGTCAATTAGAGGTCAGTTAGATCAGTGGATCGCAAACCTTTTGACTTCAGGTTACATACTTTCTTGAGTAACTACACTGTAAGTACACATACCGTAAAAAAAGTGTAACCTTAACAATTTTCATGCTTGTCTTGTTATATGGAATGGATATTTGTTGAGGAATAATAATAAAATGTTCAGCATATTCATAACAGGAGTCAAAAGAAAAGTGTCAGCCAAATGTAATGGCAGCAAAACGGGACAATATATTGCATAATTATTTACATGTTGTGCAATAGCCAGAAAGTCATTTAATGCAGATTTCACCTTCACATTTTAACACTGGTGGTAGATCGTAAAAAAAAAAAAAAAAAAGGTTATTGAAATGTGTATAAAGTAACCAAATTAAATAAGACCTATAAAGTAATATTACAATAAAAATATATATTTTTTGTTTTGTTTGGTTAGCAATAGATTTCAACTGAACATTTTGCATGTTAGGTTGGGCGGCAGCACAAATGTTTTTACATGTAAAACTGTATGTAATTATTATTATATTAATAAAAGTAATTATTATTTTAGCTATTTTATGATTTGCTTAGCTTCTATGTTATAACATATTGTATCTCATTTTTCTGTTTTATATATTTTTTCTCAAAATATTGTATTACAAAATGAAAGATAGCTAAAATGCAAATAAAAAGCCTAATTTTATATTATTACAATATCAATTATTAATAAATTGCAATGAAACATTTAAAATACTCTCTCACACACACATATATATAATTTCAATGTATTGTTCTAAAATTAGCGTCAATAAACAATAAGTTCACATGTTGTCACAAAAGGTCAAAAGTTATTTTTCCCCGACCAATAATGGCTGAAGTGTTTAATCCATAATATACATGTAATCAATGCATTTGAGTTTTTGTGTCTATGTAGAAATCAACTACATCGAAACTAAAAATTATGAAAACTTCTCCTGGTCTCCTATGCATAAACAGTCTCTTAAACTTCCAAAAGGAAACACTTACCCGTTTTACATCAAAGTTCTCCTGGGTCTGGAGGACGGGTTCATCGGGCAGAGGCCCAGCATGCAACAGTCCCAGGAGGGACAGTAGGAACACCAGAACAATACGCATCATTCTGTCTGTGATCCGAATGAAGTTCTGATCCCAAAGCCTAATGAGAACCACTACCACTCCGTCCACAGGACATCGACCTGCAGGCCATGTGTGCAACACCACCCCCAAAACCAGGCCAACAAAACAAATAGAACAAAGTTCTTCTTATCGGTCTATTGACTCCAACCTGTGCATTTTTGTTTTGGCTGAAACTCTGACAAATCCTATGGACAGATCACATGATTCTGTTAAATAACTGAAAAAGTCTATTTACACAATTCAGTAGCCTACTGTATATGTAAGAGTCAAAAGTGTTCAGTTTTTTTTTTTTTGAGTGACTTTGTAGAATGAAATAAATAATGTCTGCTCTGCAACAAAAATACCCTAAAATACCCTCACATAATTAGATTTTAATTTACTATTACCAAACATCTGTCAAAAAATTGGCATGTTTAACAGCATGAGGCCGTCTAAACACCATATATATACAGTATATATATATATATATATATAAAATCCAAATTCGATGGCTCCAAAGCAAAGACGACGGCGCTCCTGCCATGTTGGAAAAGTCTGCATGTCGTCACTCACAGTGAGAATCAATGATGCCACAACATCACAGCTCCTGATTGGGAAACCGCCCAGATTCAAATTCCCGAAGAAAGGATAACCTTTCACAGGTGAGAATGTGTTGCTCTGTGTTTTTATCTGTACACTCTAGACCCTTCCAGAGCTGAGATATTGAGATATTTATAATGGCATAAATGCTACGTGGGATCTCAATATCTCAGCTCTGGAAGGGTCTAGAGACTCCATTTTTGCACTCAGGTCTAAGTCTCATGGCCCTCTATCAGAATCCAGAGTTTCAAGAAGATCAGAGCAACTCAAAATTTCGAACCCCCCCCCCCCCCCAAAAAAAAAAAAAAAAAAAAAAACGACAGTGTTACCCCTGTCGTTTTTTTTGTGCTTTTTTTTGTGCGAAAAAAATAAATTTCTCCAATCTTCTTGAAACTCTAGATTCTGATAGAGGGCCACGGGACTTAGACCTGAGTGCAAAAATGGAGGCTCTAAAATTACTGTTTTTATATCATGGTAACATTTTAATGTTTTTACTCCTACTATGGTAATTTTTTAAAGTCATGTCAGCTAACGCCTTCGACTTGCTGTAAGTTAGTTTAACAAAATACTTAGATATTCGTATGCATTAACGGCAGAAACATAGCCTGGATGCCAGCCCGAATTCTGCCCACAAAATTGATTGGTCGGGAAGTTTGGTCTGGACTCGATCTATTGAGGAGTAATTATGATCAGTCAAGAAACGTTCGGGCCAATCAAATTGCCAGGGCGGGCTTTATACGATGATGGACAGATGATCTGCAAGGATGTAATCATCACGTTATCAAAGAGCGCTAAACTGATTTCCCTCAAAGATGACTGCAGCTGGAGAATTGAGATGTATAGATTCCGCTGTCGCGTCTGTTGTAAAATAAATTGACGCGCATTAATTTTAATAGACAGAGAACTGCAATCAAGGCATTTGTCGATCGGAAAGATATTTTTGGCGTCCTTCCTACATGATTCGGCAAAAGTGTAACTTATCAGCTGGCTCTGACGGTGGACGGATCTGAAGATGGGACGTAATGAAAAGCCTGTGGTCGTTGTGGTTTCTCCTTTGGTCGCACTCATGGAGAAGTAAGTAAAAGAAGCAACACTCGTTATTTAACTTCTAAAATAAGTAAGTTCTCTAGTTGTAAACTGGTCTACCGACTATCCAATTGAGTGTAGAGGGTTTTTTTTCCTGGTTCGGTTAAGACACGCCTCATAATCAAAGCCCTACGGAGCCGTTTCAGACTCATATTCTCACTAGAATATGAGTATGACGAAGTCAGGCTAGCAGACACACAGTCCACTTGCTCTCGAATGTTCACGGACCGGCTTTGACCGACGGCTTATGTACAGTACATTGGCCAATAGAAGCAGCCGCTTATGAGGAATTTAAGTATAGGCCAGGGTTACATATCTAAGTTGTACTGTACCAGAGCCAGTCTAACGGAGAGCCTTGGCACTTCCTATTAGCCCCATTGTGTATCATCTTGGTTGCAGTTCCATTAGAATTCCACTAGAGGTGATCGCAGGCGAGTGCAGAATGAATGGGAGTCTATGGGGCTAAACGGCTAAACGTGTCTCTTTCTCCTGCTTGTCGTCGAATCAACATCGATTTTATTGTTGATTCCGCAAGTTCAATATAGATTATAGGCAAAAAGTCGACTGAATTGTCGACCGACTCCATTTGATTTCTTACAGGTTAGGCCGTTGTTGGCCGGAACATGCTAGCATTCTGCTATTGTGTGACGTCATCACATTTTTGAACAGATTTTTAGAACAGATAAGTGAACTTAAAAATGCAATTTTCAGGTTAGTGTATTACCTTAGCCCTCCCTTTTGCATGCAACTTTCAAATTATTTGACAAAAAATTACATCCCGAGAAAAGTGGATTTCTGGGGGTGAAACCCAAGCGGCAACATTCTAATCGATAGAATTGCAATAAACTGCAATACATCTCAATTCTCTTCAATTAGACATCCTCTGATGCGACAAAGCGAAGTAGCGCAAGCATATAGGCCCTACATCAGAATAACGTTGTCACTAATGGGTTGTTTGCTTTTTTTGCGGTCGCGCCGCTTACGCCTGAAGTTCTAGGCCACTGTAACTGTACACACATTAACATTTCCACATATTTTCACAATAAGTTAACTTTCATTTCTTATTCTAAATGGCAATGAAATGGGAATAACACAACATGAACAAAAACAAGTGTTTTATTTTTTTTGCCAGCCAAGATTATCAGAGAAGTGACATATTTCTGTATTTCCACTCTTCTGTCCAGGTTGAATGTTTTGTGTGCTTTATAACACAGCAAACAAATGACTTCCATTCAAACTGTCACAAACGGACATCATTTTGGCACATTAAGGTAGCCTAAGGATGTGTTGTGTGGCCTCCAGTCCAGCTCTAAATGGTATTAGGAACTGAAAGAGAGACGCATCAAGCGTGATGAGAAACGCTATGAAGCATTTCCAAAACTGAATGAATAGTCAGGTTGTTACTGATGAGAAAATGGGGTTTGATAAACTAGATTCCAAGCTCTCGCTTACCTAATTTCCTCAAGAACAGTCTTCTAAAAAGAAATGAAACAAACATGAGAATTTTTGCTGAAAATACAGTTATTTTAGACAATAAATAAACATTTAAATGGTTTGTGAAGAAAAGTTCAGTCATCGATGATCGCTTATATCGCAAATATTTGTGTGTCACTGTCATACTTGTAGTCTTGAAAGAAAAAGTATTTGGACACTTTGGATGCAGTCATGGATGGGGAAAGAGGCCAACTTGGCATGCCAATCTTGCAAACTGACCTTGAGGTCAGTAGTTTGATACCAGGCAGTAGATATCAAATCTAATATCAAACTATGTCAAACCAAGTGTCCTATTAGTGAACATGAGCCACCATTTGACTACTACAAATTTCCAAATACTTTTTGTCGTCAATTTGAACAGTATTATTTTATTATTTAACCCCTAAGAACCTCTTTGTGAAAGGTTTTGTTTGAAAAGTGTTCTTGTGCTGTCTGTCTTTAAAATAAATGGTTTGATATTGTGTTGTTTGATGCATTCAGACCGTTTTAAGCATGACTCAAGTGTCCAAATCCAGTAAAGCGTGTAGGTGTGAGTGATTTACCTGTTTTGCTGGAGATTGGTGGAGTCAGGATGGACTCTTTGGAGAATCCTCGAGCTGTGGCGTACGCTCTGAACTTCTCCATCACATCTGCCCTCAACCTCTTAGTACGACCTACAGCCGAATCACAGGCCGTGAGCACAAACCAGAAGAACAAAAACACCCTTCCAAGAAGCTTTATTTGAGAAGTTCATGCTGTTGTTAATCTCAGGCTCACCGTAAAGAGACACTTGTGTGAACTCCTTGTTCATCTTCTTGTGTTTGAGGACCAGGGCATATTCAGTATAGTTCGTCTCCACCACAGTAACGTCCTTCACCCTTCTATGACCTTCAGATGACAGTACAAATCTGAACTGGAGTATTGTTTTATATTTGTATCAGACAAACATTCAGCTGTGATGTCTCATATCTAGTGTTGACTCACGAGTGCTGTAGTAGTTGAACACGCCGGGCACAGACGTCTTCTCATAAATGTAGACCTTACGCTGACAACCAGAAGACCTGCATATAATCACATGCAATCATCACACAATGTCCGAGTATAATGTAATGTAATTTAGTATAATATAATTTTAGAAAGTATTATTAACAACTTTGAAATATGAGACAAGAATCATCAGTGGGTGAATAAATTAAAATAAAGAAATAAAATAAATATTAGTAACTACTCTAACTATGAGATATGAGACAAGAATGATCAAATTGTAAATAAAATATATATATATATATATAAATATTAGGAACTATTCTAACTGAGATATGAGACAAGAATTATCACAGTGTATGAATTAAAAAGATATTTGAAACTATTCTAATTATGAAATATATGAGATAAGAATTATCACAGTGTCTGAATGATAAAATAATAAATAAAATAAAATATTACGAAATATTCTAGTTATGAGACACAAATGATCAGAGTGTGAATAAAATAAAAAAAAATAAAATATTTGGAACTAACTATGAGATATGACACTAGGATTATTACACAGTGTGTGAATAATAAAATAAAATAATTAAAAAAAAATATTAGGAACTCCTCTAACTATGGAATGTGTGACAAGAATTATCAAACTGTGAATAAATTAAAATAAAGAAATAAAAATAAAATAAATATTAGTAACTATTCTAACTATGAGATTTGAGACAAGAATAATCAAACTGTGAATAAAATAAAATATAAAAAAATATTAGGACCTATTCTAACTATGAGATATGAGACAAGAATTATCACAGTGTGTGAATATATATATAAAAAAAAAAGATATTTGAAACTATTATAATCATGAGATATATGAGACAAGAATCATCACAGTGTCTGAATAATAAAATAATAAAATAAAATATTACGAAATATTCTAGTTATGAGACACAAATGATCAGTGTGTGAATAAAATAAAATAAAGTGTTAATAAAAAAATAAAAAAGATATTTGAAACTATTCTAATTATTAGATATATGAGATAAGAATTATCACAGTGTCTGAATAATAAAATAATATAATAAAATAAAATATTACGAAATATTCTAGCTATGAGCCACAAATGATCAGTGTGTGAATAAAATAAAATAAATAAAAATATTTGGAACTAACTATGAGATATGACACTAGGATTATTACACAGTGTGTGAATAATAAAATAATAAAAAATTATTAGTAACTATTCTAACTATGAGATATGAGACAAGAATAATCAAACTGTGAATAAAATAAAATATAAAAAAATATTAGGACCTATTCTAACTATGAGATATGAGACAAGAATTATTATTTATTATTTTTATTTATTATATTATTATTATTTTGTGAATAAAAAAAGATATTTGCAACTATTTTAATTATGAGATATATGAGACGAGAATAATCAAACTGTGAATAAAATAAAGTATAAAAAATATTAGGACCTATTCTAACTATAAGATAATAATAAAATAACATAATAAATAAAATAAAATATTATAAAATATTCTAATCTATGAGACACAAATTATCAGTGTGTGAATAAAATAAAATAAATAAAAATATTTGGAACTAACTATGAGATATGAGACCAGGACTATTACACAGTGTTTGAATAATAAAATAAAAAAACGAAATAAATTATTAGGAACTCTAACTATGGAATGTGAGACAAGAATCATCACAGTGTGTGAATAAAATATTAAGAACTATTATAACGTCATTATGAATCAAAACTAAAACAAAATAAATGGCCACGTTGTGTCTGATATGTCAGTTTCTCAATATTAACTTATATGTATAAGCGCAATATCACAGTCTAACAGTGCTGCTATTCTGAATATATTCAATTCTTAATTGGGTGAATGTAAAATACATATTATATGTAATTATAATTATTTTTTAACCTGGTAAAATAAAGAATGAATGAGTTATATTATAGTATTGTCTGAACACAAGTGTCCCTCACGTTAGACTCCACATGGTCATGTTGACGTCCCCATTCTCCTTCGGCTCCACTACGCCCATAGAGATAGTGAGTCTGTTCCTGTACGGCACGAAGCCTGGAGAATCATAGGCCAGACCCACCCGATACCACTTCCCTGCAAACTGACCAAACACAAGAGACACGCATCATTTCACAAGGAATCGCAAGGAAAAGAGCATCTGTCTGTCCTTTAACTGCCAAAATATTTATCTCCATGTCTCAAGAACCAACACTCAACACTCTTCTTCATAAATGAAGAACGCCTGAAGAACTTGGCAGAAGTCAGACGTTTCTGGTTGCAACACTGAGCGAGTGACCTTTGCCCTGAGGTCTGTTTGTCTGCACTGTCTCTGCTGTTAATGCAATCGCTGGCCCTGAAGAGCATTACCCTCCTCAACACATCCACAGCTTGGCCATGTCAGTGTTTCAGCCTCTAAAACAACAACTCACACAAGCCTTATATATCCTGCTGTTTACAACACCAGCCTGCTCTCACTTTTCAAGTGTTGATACTAGTCCAGAAACTGCAGCATCATTACTACTGTCCTACAGATAAAGGCACGTCTCCAAAAACGTAAGGTTTAAAGTTCTCACCCTCTGAAGGTCAAAGTTTTTCTGCGGCTGGACTCTGGCATTGATGATGCCCATCAGAAGCATCAGCAAAAAAATGGTCACCAAGGAGATCTTCATGGTTACGTTGTAGAGAGGAACACAGCCAGGGATTGTGGACTATTCAGTGTGCCAACCACATTAGCTCCGCCCCCTCAACAATCCAGCCAATCGCACGCAAGAGCACACACCTAACAGAAGGACTATTCATTGAAGGTCATGTTTGAAACTTAAAAAAAAAATATTACGATTTCCAGCCCTCAAAGTCATATAAATGTCCCTTTATGAATATTAATTAAAATGACTAAAACGTCAACTAAAATTAAAAAAACTTGTAATTATACAAAACAAAACCCCATCAACCTTAAAACAACACTGCTTCGTATACAAAGTAAATAAACAGGAACAACTGCAGAGAATTAATATATTTTTTATTAATATGGATTCTTGGATGCCATTGTTTTGAAAGAGCATGATTTACAGCTAGTCTTTAAGACAAGAGGACTTCAGTGTGACGCGGCACACCTCACACACCTCCTCTACATAAACACACACACACACACCAGCTCACTCATACAGTAGTTCCCACCTCTGCATGTTGTTCCTGAGTACTGAACAGAAATAGACAAAACAAAAGTGCATTTATGATCAGTCTTTTTAAGAAGGGTGACAAATCTGTACAGTTTATAAAAGAAAACTGTGTCCCTAACTAACAGAATGCAAAACCTTCATTTGCTTTGGTGCTCAATAAAACAATATAACTCATGATGCTTAATGGTCCAATGGTTTGACAGAACAAATAAGAACAAAATCCACAGTAAATAATTAGGGTAAACATTAAACATTAGATATCCCTCATTTTCAATGAAAACATACTGGTGCATTAACAAGATTTTGGATGGCAAATGGAAGGAATGTGAACGAGCACCACAACCTAGTGGACGGACATGAGAACAACATCGCATTTCATGCACAACATCAGCTCGAAAATAAACCGACACAAAAAGATCCTGTAAAACTTGTTCGGAGTGAAAACAGACTGCGACTCTTTATATGGTGCAGTGGGGAAAAAAATATGTATTAAAAAAATAAATAAATACAAAATTATTCACAGCACTGGCTTTTGCATTTCACATTGCTAATGCCTTTCCGACATATGAAAAAAGAAATCAGAATGTAAATAAAATGCAGAAATCTTTCTCAAAACAGACCTCATTTATGTGGAAATGGCTGAAGGTTGTTTGTCTGTGTCTGCAAATGTGCGTCTTTGTAATATGAAACTTTAAATGGACAGTACCATCGAAAAATGAAATTTCCGTCATCATTCACTCCCTTTTATGTCGTTCCAAACATGTATGAGTTTATTTCTTTTCTGGAACACAAAATAATCTTCATTCATATTCTAAAAAAGACAAAGCACGATAGAAATAGTCTTCTGTTGAAACTCAAAAATGGCTTGTTAATGCACCAGGATGATGTCAAGGTGATCTGCATTTTTAATATGCAAAATGGAAATGGAAAATTATTGTCCTTTTTGGAGGTTTGGAACGACATGAGAGTGAGTAAATGCTCACAGAATTTCCATTTTGGGGTGAACGGTTCCTTTAACTAGAAATAATAAAGAGAGGCCTCAGCAAAAGATTCCTGGCGAGAATTCTTGCGGTCATAGGACACAAACACTAACACGTAGTATATCGTGAGAGAAAGAAATGTTTGTAGAGAAGATTTGACAACATATTGTGTCTAAAATCAGTAAATTGTGTAAAAAAAAAAACTCAGTGCATAAGATACGCTTTCCCTCTTTCTCTCTCACGCACACACACAGAGCAAAAGAAAACAAGCTTAACGGAAAAATAAAGCTCAACCCATAACAAATCATTACGCCATTCTTTTACAAAATTATTTTTTTAAAAATCCAAGTAAAAGGAAAGGATAAAAATCAGGAAAAGAATATTGATGGAGACAACTGCACCTGATTGGCTGACTAACCAATGACGTCACTGCTGCACCCTTGGCTAGAAGTACCAGTTGAAGAAGAAATGTCCTGTACAGCTGTGTGACAGACACTTCCTTCCAAAAGAAAAATATATTTTGAATCAATAAAAAAATGAAGTCCTATTTACATTGTTGTATTGAATTTCATTTATGCTAATTCTAATGAAAAGAAATGTCTTGACAAGAACACTATTTCTTGTCATTACATACACAAGAATATTTTTTGTCATTACGTTAATTAGAATGAGATCCTAGTGTCATTCCGATCAGAAATGTTTTTTTTGTCATTAATTCACAGTAACGTGAATTCGTTTTTTTTTATCAATAAAAGTAATAAGAATGATACTTTGTCATTACAATAATAAGAATTTGATTATGCTCATGATTACTGTAATCAGAATGAGATGTTACTGTCATTATGGTAATGAGCATTAATTTGTTTGTTACGGTAATGATAATTATTTTTTTTGTTACGGTAATGAGAATGCGATATTTTTTTTTATTGCCATTATGGTAATGTTAGTTCAATTTTTTGTTATGTAATGAGAATAACATTTTTAATGTCAATAATTTTTGTAGGCATTATGGTAATGACAAAATAGATTTCTTTGCATTACAGTAATGACAATGGGTAATGACAAATCCTTATTTTTTAAAACGAAAACACATTGCAAAATAGGCTTCATTATTTTTATGCAAAGTATATCTTTTTTTTCTTTTTTTGGTAAAGTATGTTCCTCTTGATACTCGCCCATATAATGTCAACACAGTTCTATGTTTTCCCTCATCTGTGCCATACGTTAATTTATAGTGGCCAAAAAAGTGACTGGAAAATCAATTGCTGTCACACAAAATCATCTCATCACAAGTGCGCACACACACACTTAAATACTTGCTACGATATAAATAAATAGTCCGCTGTCAGTGGGCGAAGGAGAACAGGAAAGTTTGCAAGAGAAGATGGTGTAAAATACACATGGAAGGGAAAGCATGCCCATAGATGTAGTGCCGGACACTTTGCATGATGGGAAATTTTAATGGGAGGGGAGTACGAGCTAGGTTTAGAAAATAAACCAGCTGTTTAAGAGACGTCCAGTGTCAGTTAGTGTGATGATACAGGGCAAGAGCAATAACACTACGTACGTGGTGACCTGACAGTAAGGCACAGTGCTCTGTTTGCATCAATCATTCATGCTGCTGAAAGAAAAACTAAAACCCAGATGACATATAGCCTACATAACTTTCCCTTCATTCTACTCTGCTTCCGTTCTCTTCATGTCAAGAGGCAAGGATGTTGTTTTTTAGGTCTGGCGCCACTTTGCAGATGGGGAGGATGTTCACTCTTTAGCACCAGAGTAGTTTATTACTTTCATTCACTTCTATGCAAAGTCCACTATAGTCTCCAGGAGGTCCTCACCCGAATCTGAACGGTCGTCACGTCTAGCAAATCGAAGTGAACCCATGAAGCCCACTCTGCACAATGTCGCACCGGGCTGCTCGGTCTCTAGACGTTAGTGAGATATCAGCTTTCATGATTGACTCTGCACATTAACGTCTGGAAAGGTAAAATAGACACAGTAGCAGTGCGATCTTGGATGTCTTCAATGCAGCATATAGATTCAAAACTTGAAAATAGATGATGAGCTATTCTACAACTTAAATATATTTGGTGCACATTTAAATAAACAGCATTGATCAAGTCTTGGCAGCTGAGAAGTACACAGCCATTGCTGGGTTTGTATTGCACGTCGATCCGTATGGTTTGGTGGCGCGTTTACGATGGTAGTCGCTTGTCAGATCTGTCAAAATGAGCGCGTGTCAGTCCCGAATCCTGTAGCCAGGCGAGCATTGTGCAGCTGAGGCAAAGGGAAAGCTTTACCATTTGACAGACGTGTAGTTGGTCCTTTCCTTGCTGTTAGTTTTGAATTCTTGTTTTCTAAATTGCTTAATTTTTTGTTTTGTTTTCAAGATGGCTGAACACCACCACGTCCCATCTCGGTTGAGAGAGGTGGGCAATGAGAATGAATATGGGACTTGAATAAGTGTCCAGAATGCATTCCTGCGGCCCCTCACTGTGTTTGTTGAGGTAACGAGGGGCGGGGTGATGAGAGGGGGTGGGGTTTGAGGGCTGTTGAAGGCGGGGTGGTGAGGGAATGCGTGGAGGTTGGCAGTAGTCTCATAATTTTTGCTTTCCTGAGACAATGCTGCGATGGAGCTCTACATTCAGCTCCACATATTGTCCCTTAGTGCAGTCCAGGAAGTAGAGTTTGTCAGAGACGACACTGGGGTCGAATCCCTCCCGTCGCAAGTCTGTCTTCTGGAATTTGAAAGTCCCTGAAAGAAAACCATATGCTTAGCATTTTATACCATGCATTGGCACACCGTAAATACCATGCATTGGCACTCTTTTGGCTCAATTATCAGTATTGTTCCATATATCAAGTTCAAGGGTCCATAAGTCATTGTTGGTACAGTAAAAAATGTTCAAACTTTAGATTTTGTTAGAACATTAGATTGTATATTTCTCCCAATTGTCATATTTGATGTAACCCTGAACGTGTCAGAGTAAGGCTGCATTGAAATGGGCAGGTGGTGTAATATAACTGGGCCAACATGTCAAGTTAAAGGGTCTATAATTAAAAAAAATATATATACAGTACAGTACAAAATGTTCAACCTTTGGATTTTGACTTTAAACCTGCACAAATAAAATTAATACTGTATGTCCAGGCAACAAACCAATACAAATACAATCACATAATAATGCATCTCATATACATCCGGTTAAAAAGAATCTGATATATATACAGGATATATCAATCACTATATCAATACATACGAATTAGATGTTGATAGATAATGGATTTTTCTGATATAATAATAATAATAAATTTAACGTCAGGCAAATCCACTTACAACAACTTACAAGGTAGTTTGTGATCAGAAACACCAGCGATTTCAAACCACATTTTTGATTATTCTGAGTCTTTGGTTCACTGCAGTTTTGAGGAGAAAATACTCAGCAATACTCTGCTTAAAGAAAGACCATGCGCAAATTCATATTAAAAACACCACATAGACATAATAACAACATTAAAAATGTGATTTTTCACCACAGGAGGACTTTAAATAACACCCTTTTGAAGTTTAATGATTACATTAGATGATATCACAATACCTGTTTTTTTTTTTTAAAAGAAATTCTAAAAAAAAAAAAATCTACCATTAAAGACTTATGCTATACTATTTGAGATATTTAAGACTTTTTATGACCTTCAATTTGATCAAATTGAATTTGAGACATTAAGGACCCATAGGAATCCTAAATGTATTTACAAGTAAATCAGCACTTATGGGAAACAATGCTTTAGATATGGACACAATGTATCGTTGCATAATTTAAGGTTAACTTGAAAGCACCAATATTTACATTTAAGGATTGTTTTTGCGATATGCAACGTTACCACTCTTAGTCAACAATATTCATCAGACAGGAGTCAGCTGTCTGAAGCTGAGATTAGATGTGCCATATCTCACCTGTCTTGTTCACTTCTGGCAGGAAGCGCAGAAACACGGGCCGGGCATAGGGCGGCAAAGCTTTCTCCAGGTCCCTGCTAAACTTCGCCAGGTCTGAGCTATTGTCCGGGTCTGCTATGGCCGCCATCCCTGCCTTGCCTTCAGCTCCTGAGAAAACAAAAAACAAAAAAACCTCCATATGAAAGACAACCTCAAATTATGCGACAAAGATGCGATGCATTCTCAGCACCACAAGAGGCACTATACCATCCATTTTTAAAAACTGTTCTTTTTCTCTTCTGCAATTAGTTTTCTCTTTGAGGTCGATTACAGTAGTTTAGCAAGTTGGTAAAAGTTAAATTGCCAACATTTAAACTATCTGAATAATAACATCAGGCTTAATGGAAGCATAGATGTTTGAAAACAAAGGTGGGATCACATTAGCCAAATTTCTTAAAACGACCTTTCCTAATAAAAAACAGTTTATGTAAAACCTGATTAAAACAACAATTTTTTCCCAATTTCCTGATTCGGTTTGGTATGTGAACACTTTAATTGATTTGCATTTAGACTCTTGAAACCTTTCGATGGTTATCAGCATATGATGTACACGTACACCTACATGTTGTAGACCCACAATTCCAGATCTGCTGATGACTTTGTTTTGAAGGGGAGTGTATTTTTCAGCTGGCAGTCTCAAATGTAGTGAGCTATATTCAGCACTCTGCCGCCATTTCTTTATAGATCTAGTGTAAGCAAAACCAGAGCCAGGCCAAGAGAAGAATTTGTTTGGCTGTGCATTCTCAGGATCCTTCACAGGAGCTGCTGCAGTCAGCTTTGTTCAAAATTAATTATTCTCCTCTCCACAGACTGGCTGGGCACCGGTGATTCATGTTACTGAATCAAAACAGTTCACCGCAAAACACTGTCTTTACAGATGCTCTCTTTATTGTCACAAGATCATTTTAACTTAAATCTTGAATTGTATCATGTGCATTTATTTATTTGCCAATTAGTCGTGTAATCAGGGTAGGGTATCTGCAGGATTTTTAAAGCTAATAACAATACATAAACTAATAATAATATTAATAAAATCCATATGAGAGGGGTAGGGTGGTCTATGGGTAACAACCAAAACTGGAAAATGACCACGATTGAAACTTTACGTTATGATTGTAAAAAGATAAACCTCATATTTCATATTTAAACCATTTTTTTAAGGAAAGGGATGAGTCAAACCTAACAATAATATTATAATTTTAAAGATTTAAAAATAATAAAATATTTTAAGACTTTTAAAAACCCGTGTGGATTCTGTGTAAGTATTAAGATTGTCGCAAAATAAACTACTTCAGCGCGAAACTCCAGCCGATTATTATTTTTTCCTTCCACTTAAAGATATAGTCCTGATGAGTAAACTCTATGGTTGCTGCATATCGATTTGCCTATTTTAGCCAACATTTTCTTAAACAGGATAAATGGTAGAAAGACAGAATAAAAACAAACAGAAAAGGTGGAGAAATGTGCCGTTACCTGGCACCTCCACTCCATACACCACCACATCTTTCATGTCCAGCAGACGGCTCAGAGTTCCCTCCACTTCGGTGGTGGACACGTTCTCTCCTTTCCAGCGGTACGTGTCTCCTGTGCGGTCTTTGAAATACATGTAGCCATAGTCGTCCATCTCCAGCACGTCCCCTGAGAGAGGAGACAAAAACGACTTCTATTATCTAGCTGAGAGAGTATGCAAGGAAGAGTGCCGTTGTGTTTCAAAATACAATACCTGTCAGATATGCACTGTCTCCCTTTTTGAAGACATCGTGGGCAACCTTCTTATTAGTGGCTGACTGATTGACGTAGCCGTCGAATCGTCTGAGGGGGTCGTTCTGAATGATTCGGCCAACCAACTGACCAGGTTCTCCTGAGAAACACAGTAAGGAAATGGATGTTACATTATATTTTTGCATTTTCTGTAGTGGTCAACTGATATAGATAGATAGATGGTTTTATTTAATGCCATGTCAGCATCTAAGGCTATTTTCATGGCAAAAATTAAATGACAAAAATACAAATATCATATAAATAAAAAACCAAGCAAACCTACACAAGAAGTCATATTATATATATATATATATATATATATATATATATATATATATATATATATATATATATATATATATATATATACAGAATTTAAGTGCAAATAATTCTTAAATATATACATGCATGCATAGGTATTTATATATACAAAATAATTATATACAGCACAAACAAATATATTATGTAAACACAGACTTATTTTGGATGCGATTAATCGCAATTAATATTTGCACAGTCCTAATATATATATATATATATATATATATATATATATATATATATATATTTTTTTTTATTAACACATGATATAAAATCCAAAACCTTTTCAGGCATAATCTTACTAAATAGTCGTTAAGTTCAACTGCTCATTAACGCAAATATCTAATCAGCCAATCACATGGCAGCAACTCACTAGACATGATCAAGACGAACACATGATATAAAATCCAAAACCTTTTCAGGCATAATCTTACTAAATAGTCGTTAAGTTCAACTGCTCATTAACGCAAATATCTAATCAGCCAATCACATGGCAGCAACTCACTAGACATGATCAAGACGATCTGCTGAAGTTCAAACTGAGCATCAGAATGGGGAAGAAAGGAGATTTAAGTGACTTTGAATGTGGCATGATTGTTGGTACCAGACGGCTGGTCTGAGTATTTCAGACACTGGTGATCTGGTGGGATTTTCCCACACAACCATCTCTAGGATTTACAGAAAATGGCCCGAAAAAGAGAAAATATACAGTTGAGCGGCAGTTCTGTGCCTTCTTGATGCCGGAGTTTAGAGGAGAATAGCCAGACTGGATCGAGCTGATAGAAAGACAAGGGTATCTCAACTTTCCACTCATTTCAACTGAAGTCTGCAGAAGAGCATCTCTAAACGCACAACACATCAAACACTGAAGCAGAGATGAGCTACAGCAGCAGAAGACACACCGGTGGCACTCCAGTCAGCTGAGAAGAGCAAACGGAGGCTACAATTCACGCGGACTCACCAAAATTGAACAATAGAAGATTGGAAAACCGTTGCCTAGTCTGATAATTCTCGATTTCTGCTACAACATTTAGATGGCCGGGTCAGAAATTGGGCGTAAACAACATGGATGGAAGCATGGATCCATCCTGCCTGGTATCAACGGTTCATTGATGGTGTATTGATGTTAGGGATATTTTCTTTGCACACTTTGGGCCCTTTAGTTCCAATTGAGAATCATTTAAACGCCACAGCCTACCTGAGTATAGTTGCTGACCAGGTCTATACTTTTGTGACCACAGTGTGTCATCTTCTGATGGCTACTTTCAGCAGGATAACATGCCATGTCACAAAGTTCAAATCATCTCAAACTGGTCTCTTGAACATGACGATGAGTTCACTAAACTCCAATGACCTTCACAGTCACCAGATCTCAATCCAATAGAGCAGCTTTGTGATGTGCTGGAACAGGAGATTCGTATCATGGATGTGCATCCAACAAATCTGCAGGGACTGAGTGATGCTATGTCAATCTGGACCAAAATATTTGAGCAATGTTTCCAGCACCAAGTTAAATCTAATCCATGAAGAATTAAGGCAGTTCTGAAGGCAAAAAGGGATCGAACCCCCGGCACTAGCAAGTTGTAAATATCAGAATTGGCCATAAAAAAAAAAATCCATATCATCAACCGGTAACTTTCTGTCTGCTCCCCTGTGTACGAAGAATGTGAGTGAGTACTGTACCTGGACCACATGGGATACAGACTCCATCGGGTCCTCTGATAAGCTCCATGGTCTCCTCGTCCACTTTGACTAAGCGGATGGGGTAGACGTAGGGAAGGATCCGACTATTGAATCCACAGGCCCCCGCCTGCAGTCAAAACATCATATGTTTATTACAATCACCTCACCCTCTTCAAAACTAAATACTGTGTCGAGCAGAATAAACAGCTAGGTGCATTTTCCATCAGCACCATAAATGGCCTATAACCAGTTGTGCTTGATTAATAAACACATTGTAGATGGCCTTGCACAATATATGGTAATACACAATGCTAATTGCTGCAACCCTTAAAACCCTATATATCCTTTTCCGCATGCATTATCCACTATTGTGTAGGTTTGCAAGTGTGTGTGCAACTCATAAAGGCTGTTTACAGACACTTAGACTAAGGTGTGTTTGACAGACCTTGTTGTCGAAGTTGCCCAGGCTACAGTTGCACTCGGTGGCGCCGTAGAACTCTGCAATCTGTGGTATGTTGAAGCGGTTGGTGAACTCCTCCCAGATGGACTGGCGAAGGCCGTTTCCGAGGGCCATGCGGACCATATGTTGGCGCTCAAAGTCCTTCTTTGGCTGGTTCAGCAAATAGCGGCAGATCTCGCCAATGTACTGTACGATCTGAGACCAAAAATTATACTCCATAAAATTACATTTCCATGCAACACAACAACAATTTGCAATCCCACAGCTATAACATTAAAGGTATAGCGGAGGATTTTCTTTTTCCGGGTGGGTAGTCTATACTATTGGTCCACTTAAGTGTCAATCATTCTGGTGATGTTTACGTAAGGCCGTCGTAGGCTACGTGCTCATCCCTATGTAGTTTTCACTTTCAGGTGTATTATGTCGGAGTTACGGTTTCAGCCATTCCTTTGAAAATGGCTGAGGGTCGAAAGAGAAAAAATGTTTACTAAGTGTATGATAAGAAGAGAAAGGCCGCAGAATATAGAAACAAGACCAGAGAGATTTTGGGTGAATATCACACGCTGGCGTGCGCTAAAAGCACAGGTTGGGCTTCTCACTGATGCCGCAGTCGCGAAGATTCTACCAGACAGGTAAAGTTTGTCATGCTATTTGGAGAAATCCATTTAAAATCACTAGTAAAAGTTAATGCAAGCTACAATGCTAGCCCTGGCACGAGTCATGCACCGCATAGACACGGTAAACATCTCAATTTGTCTAAAGTAGCCTTTTGTCCAAAATGGTAAATGGTATCACGCTGAAATATTCTAAAATCTTGTGTGTTTATTATTACACAAATGCAACAAGCTACTTCTCCATATGCAACTATGTATAAAAATAACGTATTAACAATGAGAGCTATGTATGTTGCTATGTAACGTAATTGCGATTTGCAAAATAGTTTCCTCAGAACGTATTTCGTGTGATACAAGGTTGCACATATCATGTCTTGAGTCCTCGGTCACTTAATCGATCAGTATAATAAGTAAATAAAACACGGAAGGGCATTTGACATGTTGTCTTTTTTCTGAATGTTTTTTAGTTAGTTTAGAATTTGCAACATAATTGTGCAAGGCGTATAGACGTTCCCTAGCTCTCGGGAGCAAGAGTGTTGTGTTTGTGCATGTGCATTTTTTTTAAAAATTGGAGAGGGCGGGTCTTCTCTAAAATTCGGAAAGATCCTCCGCTATACCTTTAAAGCTCACAGATATCAGATTTTGAGGGTCAATATGACTTTTAATGTTTAAAGAAGTTTCGTCTGCTCGTCTAGGCTGCATTTGTTTGATAAAAAAAACTGTTTTATTAATATTGTGAACAAATGTTATTTTTAAAATAGCTGTTTTCTATTGTAATATGTTAAAATGTAATTTATTCCTGTGATCAAAGCTGAATTTGTCACATGATCTCCAGAAATCATTCTAATATGATGATTTAATGCTCAAGTAACAATTCTTTTTTTTATTTCGCTTTTTATTGAACATGAACATCAGTCAAAAACATCAGTGAACATCAGTGTTAACAGTGACATTTTAGTTCTTTTTTTTCACCCCTTTATCCCAGCTTAATGCACCCCCCTCCCAGAACTCAAGTAACAATTCTGATTATCATCAGTGTTGAAAACTGACTTGGTCCTTCATAATTTTGTGGAAATTGTGATACATTGATTCATCTCAGGATTCTTTGATAAACATAATATTCATAAACAGCATTTATTCAAAGTCTAAATCAATCGTAGCATAAATATATTTACGGTCACTTTTGATCAACGTAATACATCTTTGCTGTAAAAACTACAGTATAGGCAAATTATTTTCTTGAAGGTATTCCATAATAATCCATTTATTCCATTACTCACCGTGCAGTTGTATTTGATACAGTCATCCCAGAACTTTGATGCACTGAACTTCTTCCTGATCACTACAGTCATTCCATGGATCAGGCACTGGCCAACTCCCACTATGTTTCCTGCCACAGAAAACAACTCTGACCTCAGAACAAACCTATTGATTCCTTCCAGATTAAATACTCACAAATAAGTCGGTTAAACCTATAAAATTCAAACAAACCAAGTTATTTTCTCAATACAGCATTGGACTCAAAGATCTTATTTAGACATCCATCAAAACAAGCCCTAAAACTCACACAGGAAGTAGCCTGAACCAGACTGTGACAGGAAGTGTCAGTGATGTACCTGCAGAGTGGTAAAGTGGTAAGCAGTCATAAAGCACATCCTCAGACTTCATTCTGAAACCATAGTACACCAAGGCAGCCATGCGGTAATACCTGAGGAAAGAAAGAATGCAGGAAAAACAGGGAGATTGATTCATTGAGAGAGAGAGAAAAAAAAGAGAAAGCAAGGAACGAGAGACTGAGAAATTAAGAAAATGAACACTGTTATACACTTACCGGCTATGTACAACGATAGCAGCTTTTGGCATCCCAGTGGTTCCTGACGTGTAAATGTAAAAAAGGCGATCTAGAAGCAAAGAAGAAAAAACTATTTAACATCTAGTAGTTGGTAATGTGATTTATGGGCCAGATTTATTAAGAGCTTGTGCCAGTCACTAGTCAATTACTATGAAATATTAGTCAAATTGACTAATGCACAAGTCAATTTACTGGTATTTGCACCATGTTTTACCACCCGAAAATAGCATGCCTTAACCTATTTTGCACTTGAAATGAAGGCATCGGTCATTCTTTCATTTGTGAACTCAGAACTTTCCACTGCACTTTATGGGAATGTGGTAATTTGGCCTGTTTTGTAAATCTAAATGTGTCTTTTTAACATCCTAAAAGGCCTGTTTATGTCAAATGCAACAAAACAAAAATAATGGAAATATTTAGACTGAGTTCAATGGCATAAGTTGTTATTTCACTGGTTTTGGCCATCCTTCTGTTAAACTGTCACAAATGAATTAGGTTGAATAGCTATTAGCTGTTAAATTTAACTGCACAATTAGATAATACCAATTTAGCTCAACCAATTACCAAGCAATGCTTCATTTTGTTCAGTCTGTGGTGTAAAAAAGGTGGCATTAGCAATTAAAGAAAAAACACTTCAGCAAAAGATGGTCAGATCAGGGTGTCTGAATAATATTTGGTCCCAAATTTCAATACATTTTAGTGGTATGAAGATTTTTTGGGTATAATATGTCACAGTTTACTTTATTTTGCTATCCTCAGTTACATAAATTAACTATAGTGTCCTGCACCCACTAGTGAAAAAAATATATCTGGTGTCTGAAACAGTCATGTGTGGGGATCATTCAGCATACGGGGAATAAAATCTTTGAACTAAAAAACAGGGTGGGTCTGTTCAAATGGACAGGAGTTCGTAGGCCTTAAATGGTGGCAAGTCTGTGTTCGATTATCTTGCCTGTGAAGCTGCGATCTGGTTGTCTGGGCTGGTTTGTAGGTGTCGCCTCCAGCAGCGGCTCTAGATGCTCCGTCCCTTCAGGAACGCTCTTTGGGTCCCATTCTCCAGAGCAGAACAGCTTAACAGTCTTTCCCATGGAGCTGTGCACCTCACACATCGCTGAAACATTTAAAGAGCGAGAGAAATACGTGGATACATCACAGAAACAAAAAATGCAACAAAACCAGCCTAGAAAGTTCTTCAGAGAAACCACAGGACAAGCAAACGCGTGACAATGTGAAATCGATAAGTAACGAAGCTGACTCAACATGGCATGCTTTATGAGTCAGTATCCAATTACTTAAGAGACAATTAGGAAACTGGATGTCATTAGGGTTTTGCTGCCTTTCGTAACCTCGGGTACAAATACTCTTTGGTGCAATGACATTCTTTCACAATGAGTTACACGTAGTGACCTCTGCCCAAGATAAATCTTTACTCTATGCTACTTATTCATTCAGTTCAAATGCTAATCTTTGTCCAAGTGCCACTTCCTTATTTGCTTCTTGTGGTGTGTCACTTCCAATTGCAACACTTCTTAACCGCTGCCTCAACCGATACTATATTTATTGAGGCAAATCATGCTTAACGTCAATATGAAATCAGCTGACACTATTGACATTCATCTACACATTCTTAGTATGTTATTGTGCAAGATGAACCAGTGCACCTCATAAAAGAAATTTTAAAAAATACAAAAGACATTTTTTTTTTATTTAGACAAAATGTACTAAATTTGTCCACTTCCAAAATGTTGATTGATGTCACCATTCACCAACCCAATTTTTTTTTTCCAAAAGTACCTGACTCCATTTTGGTATGTAATGAACACAATCAAATTAATTCCAGATGGCTAAAAGAAATATCCTACGGTGACCGAGAGAGAGCTTAACGAGCTGCAAATGAAGAAAACATTTTAATCAGTTGCTGCAAATCCTTACAACACAACCAAATACAGAAACGCACTGCAAATACTCAACAAACATACGATCAAGCTTTTATTTGATTGAGTTGTGAGTATTTGCAGCGTGTTCCTGTATTTGGTTGCGTTGTGAATATTTGTATGTTGAATTTGTGGTTATTTCGAAGTGCTCTAAACTGGTCTTCGGGAGTTTAATACGTGTTCCGAATGACTGGTTCGAAACAAATGATTCGCTGAGGTTTCACCGCTTCACAAAGTGAATTCATTAATGTCAAAACAAACTGCCTCCGTAACAGCCAAATGCAGTTAGCTACATTTTTGTTCGCAGCAGCATGGATATGTAACTACTTTATCAAATGCGTAGCTTGACTGTGGTTTAACCGCTATAAATTAGGAGTAGTTTCCTCATCTCTAATAACGATCAAACCACTTCTCACCATCTGTTAGCTCACTGCCGAACACCACCGCTTTGGCGCTGGAGATGTTGACGCAGTGAACCAGGGCCTCCAGTCTAAGGTTGAAGTTGATGAGCGCCGCCTCCACTCCGATCTTCGCCATGCCCAGCCAGAGCCCGACGTACTGAGAGCGGTTCTCCATGAACAGAGCCACCACATCGCCTTCCTTGAAGCCCCTCTGGAGAAGACAGTTAGCCACGCGGTTGGAGTAATCGTCAAGCTCCTTGAAGCTCCATTTCTCGCCCGTTCCTTCGAAAATCAGAGCCGTCTTGTCACCGTATTTCTTGAGCGACTTGGCAAAAAGTTTGGGAATGGTGTTGCGCTCACGTAGGTGCTTTTTGACATTCAGCTTTACTCTCAGCAACACACTGGCTGCACTGTAAAAGAACACAAAAGAATTGATGGTATTATTCTGGAGATTTTGTAAAACATCTACTTTGGGTTTTGGGTGAACTCTTCATTTAAAATAGATACACTACTTTAAATGTTCGAAATGATTAGGATTTGTTTACGTTTTTGAAAGCCGTCTCTTCGGCTCACCAAGGATACATTTATTTTAATTTAAAAAAAAATAATAATAATAAAAACAGTAAAATAGTAATATTGTGAAATAATACTAACTGTTTTCTATGTGAAACTATAATTTATTCCTGCGATCAAAACTGAATTTTCAGCATAATTACTCCAGTCTTCAGTGTCACATGATCCTTCAGAAATCACTCTTATATGATGATTTGATGGTCAAGAAACATTTCTGATTATTATCAATGTTAAAATCAGTTGTGCTGCTTCATATTTTTGTGGAAACTGTGATACATATTTTGTTCTTTTGATTAATAGAAAGATGGAAAGAACTGCATGTATTTGAAAACAAAATCTTTTGTAACTTTAAAATGTCTTTACTGTCACTTCAATGCATCTTTGCTGAATAAAAGTATTCATTTAAAGAGCACCTATCATGGATTTTTGAAAATGACTGTTCATGTAGTGTGGAATATATCTCTAAGGGAATGAAAACATCCTGCAAAGATTTATATCTGAAAGTGCACCGTATATAAAGTCATTGTCTTTCAAAAGTGAGAGTCGACTCTGAGTCTATGAAATGAATTGTTTTTGAAACGAGTCATTAGCTGTTTCGTCGTGACGTAGAGAGGTCATTGGCATCATGTCGAGAAGACGCTGTGTTCTACATTGCAAAGACAGTTCAGCCACTTGTTTCCATTGCCCAAGGACGAGCATGTGAAGAATCAGTGGTCAGAGTTCATATTTGCAACGATACCACAACAGTATAGCCGAACCTTGTTTTTATCATTTTAATGACGAATCATTCGCAAGCCGGTTGTTCCCGAAGGAGGGCTCAGTATCCAGTGTATATGGATCA